AGGGTCCACCACTTTTTTTTTACAAATTTAATCGACTGCATGAAATGGGGGTGGTCCACATATCAGTCCATACTTAGACCAGTACATACCGCCCATACCATACCATTTCGGGCGGTACAACAATCATTGCTCTTTAGTACTTATTCAGTTACGCAATTTTGACAGTGTGGAGAGGTGAAATGTTATATAAATTATAATATGCACAAGATATTTGTCAATTATATAATGATTTAAGTTTTGGTTTCATGTTTTTCTAAATCTTTTTATTTTTCTGTCTCTCAATCTTTTGGATTTACTATTTTTAATTTTTAAGTATTTTTCTCTAAAATGCTAATCAAGTGATCCAATATGCATGATCCCTGTTTCGTAGTTCCTTTTGAAATTAATGTGATATTGAGAACTTGCTTGAGATGTGCTTCCTCCATATGAGTGGAATGAAGACCTAATGGATAATTAGTAAAACTACCCATAATGCAAGTAAGGTGACTCTTTTTTGGTTTATATTCAAATCACTAAATCATATCAATATTGTACAATTAAAAAACAATTGGTTGCTAGTTTTAAACTGAAATTTGTACGTGGTAGTTAATTTATATGCCCATATATTAGTCATTTTATGTTAGCGTGGTTTAACTTAAGTAGTTAATTTATACGCCATGAGTTGTGAAGGTTCAATTAGCTGTATGATAATATTATGTTATCAGTGTGTAGCATGTTAACAAAATTTATAATAATGCGTGCTATCTTCAACCTTCCTTCTGTCAAGAAAATGTAAATTTTAATTCTGAGAGAAATCTGATGCAGGAACATAATGACATGGACAAACATAGCAAGTAAACCATATATATCGTGGCATCAGTAATGAAATAATTGGGCTTTCCAGTAGCAGACTTAATTTTTGGTAATTATTCACATTTTACACATTCTAAGCTTCCTGTGGTATGAAAGATACAAATTGTTTTCTACTGTATTCTTCAGGCATTTTTTTGCTGTCTATTTTCTCATTGGTCCATTTTTAGCATGAGCAGGTTCAATCAACCTGTTGGTGTTGAGAGACCTTTTTCTTCGTTCCAAATTATTCTACTGGACCTCCTTTTATAATATATGTGTATTTCATCTAGAGGTTTGCTCATCATAACATCCTTCTTAGAATTCAGGTCCTTTGTCAAGTAAATTGAGGGTGCAACGATCTGGTGATGCTTTTCGTCGTAGACATGGACTGGCTCCTGGTGAGATTAGTTGCCTTCTTAATTTTCATTTCATCTGCTCCCCTATGATTACTCTGTGTGGTAATATAAGGACCAAAGCACTATATAAAAATGTATCTTAAGATAAATGATGAAGTACTAGGCTCTACATTTATTTTGCCACTCAGTCGGACTCCTATAAAATTTTCCAAAAATCATTATCTAAAGGTAGAGCCAATTTAGATAATGATCAACTACTGACTTTGAGCATCTGCGATAGAGGCTCTGCTGACTTTATTTCCCACATTTCTACCTAGTACATCCAACCACATCCTAAAATTCTTTGGTTTATTTTACTCAGACTTGTATGATTAACTTATGCTTTGCTTCATTAATATGGCTTTATGATTTTACACTTTTCCCCTAGGTGCCTATGCTTTGTACTTTATTCCCTCTCTATGTCATGTTATACTAGAATTTTCATTTTGTTAGGTTTTTGGCATAATTTATGTCAAAATGATGAATGGTTGAAATCATATGTCCAACTGATACTAGACTCTGAATGGATAAACCAGCAGATGATAAGAAAAGGAAATGCCATAGTTGTAGTTACTAACAAATAGTTCGGCACCAGCAACTTAAAGTGAACCTATGATAAATTTCTGGAGGCTTCTGTATTAAGTATGGTTCTCTCTTAAATTTTAGATCCAACTCACAATTTTTAGAACCTACAACATCTTGGTTAGTGTTTTGAGAGGCTTATTCACACTATTTTCATTTTTTTCAATCTTTATTCCAGTCAAAGTTGACCTAGTTTCAGTTCAGTTATGGAAATTCTTAAGAGTTAGCTAGTCTGTCAAACACCTCAAAATTTGAATGACTAACAATTGCCTACTCTAGAGCATGCACTACAAGAAATTTGTGAAACTATTGGTGCCTTTCCGTTCTATGATAAAATTATATCTAAGCACATTTTTCTATTTCCCCCCTTGCTTAGCTTTGATGACTCTGACCAATAGTTTCTTTTTACTGACTCCTGAATTATTACCTGGCAGGAGCTACAGTTTTTACTTTACTCCCTGGAAGCAGACTGCAAGAGGTCACACGTATCCTTCCAATTTTCCTAAAAACAATAGAACTACTGAAGAACTCATTCTCCGAGTTATCGATTTTTATTCCTGTTGCTCCAAATAGCCATGTGGAAGACTTTGTTAGTAGAACGATTCAGTCATCACCCCTGTCAGCAATACTTGTACCGGGTGCATCACTGGACCAAAAATATGATGCATTCAGTGTATGGTTAATAAAATTTTTCTTTGCTTAATTTGTGAATCAAGTTTTTTTTATATTTTAACCCAGGGTTCTTAATTTCGATGTGTACCATCTGGTGCGGTGGTACGTATTGGTCATAGAGGATACCAATATGCAGATCGCCCTCTATCGAGTAGTACCAGTGTTTTAACCGGTACCCATACCGACTGGTACTGTCTCGGATTTCGACCTTTATCGAGGTGTACCAATTGATATGCTTTGGCGTGGTAGGTGGAAGTATTTTTAAGGTTTTAGGGATATCATCAGTATGCCCTAGCGTACCGACGGTGCATACCGTACCAAGCAGAGCTTAGTATGCTAGTACATGCCGGTTTTCAAAATCCTGTTTTAACCAATCATCTTTACTGAAATAAGCTTTATTTAGTATTAATTCTATCTTTCTTCATGCTTCTTTAAGCTAGCATTACCATCAACTACGAATTTGAGATATCATGTGTCATGGTATAAATTCAAAAAAATTATTATAGCAATTGTTATAGTTAATATGTAAAATCACCAAGTGAAAAAATATAATTTTAACATTTATGCATGTAAATTTAATTGTAATGTCAATTGTAGAAGTTTACAAATCTCAAGTATTTATAATGTCGGTCAGCCCGACACACACCAACTGATATATGTCGTTCCAACCAAGCATCAGTATCGAAATGTATAGCTCGATGCCATTATTGTCTATTTTATTTTTATTATTTTATTCAGTAATTGCGAGCAAATAACTAACTTGTATTGGTTTGATAGATTGTCAAAACTGGTATCAGAGTGGTATTTAAATGCTTGCTCCAGATTACATCAAATTTTGTATTAGTATGCCTCATTGCTGCACATCTTAGTGTCATTAATTCTTAGTTCTTTTTGGCTCCAATATTTGTTATCTTGTGGAGCTTTGAATAGGTTTAAACTATTTTGGAACTTGACCTCAAGTAAACTTTACCACAGGCAAGTACAGCTGCATTATGTGCTTCTGGTTCTGCGGTCATTGAGTTACAGCTAGCAAGGTTACCATGTGTTGTAGCATATCGAGCTCATCTTTTGACAGAGTGGGTAATCCGGTACAGGACAAAGTTGAACTTTATATCACTCCCGAACATTCTTTTGAATTCAGACATTATACCGGAGGTCCTTTTCCAGGAATGCACACCTGGGAAGCTAGCCACGGTTTTTAGGTAATTATGTTGTTTGTAGTTGTGTTCTATGCTTTTCTGTGTTTTTTTTTTTCCCAGTCATGCATCATGCTATCTGGAATTGGGTCATCTGAAATTTGGCTAAAATTTCTATTGTGGTTATAAGATTGGAACACATAATCACTTGCATCCTGTTTTAAATTGATCTTGTCTAATCAAAATGATCAAATTATGTTTGCCTCACTTTTATTGCTGTGGAACTTATAGAGTGTGCTTGTTGCTTGGCTTGAAGGCTTTGAAAATTAACTGGTTTTGTTCTTTCATTTTAGTTTCTCAATTTTGACTGTTATATACATGAACAACCTCAATAAGTCATGTTTGTTTATTAAATATAATTCAAGGAATTCAATTTCGGCTGCCTGGTCGGACCAGTATGAGTCCGATCTGTTGTGGTATACTGTGTGTCTATTGGGGATGGGTGACGCGGGAAGGAAGAAGGAAGAGGGAGAAGAAGGAAGAGGAGAGTGGGCGGCAGCGGGAGACACAGGCATGCTTGCAATGATGGGTGGTGGAGAATAGACTCATGACTCCTTGCTAGGAGTCATGTTGCAAGCTCTAGCATATGCTTAAAAGCAAAATATATATTATATAAATGTTACAAATTGGACAGCTGATTTTAAGCGGTCCGCATCCCGGTCGGCAGTGAGACCAGTAAATACAGATCGAAAAAGGGCAAAATTAAAAACCTTGATCTAATTAGCTTTTGTATCTTTGTCTTCTTGTTAGTGTATTTGAATACAACGTACACCTGATAAGAACATTTGATGATTCGTGTTCCTTTGATTGAAACCTGATAAGAACATTTGATGATTTGTGTTCCTTTGATTGAAAAATCCCCATTAAGCATAAAGATTGGTTGATCTTTAAACTCTGAAAAACAAACTTCGTCATTTGCAATATGTGCTAGTTCCTCTGCCTACTTTTTGTGGCACTACATATCTTAGATGTGACTTGGTGAGGTCTTAATGATTTGGAGACCCAGTTCATGGAACTGTTACAACTGTTATAACCGAGGCAAATATAAAAGTGCCTCTTTTAGATCCAGACCTATAGAATTTCAGATCTGCAGATCCAAATATGCAAGCATGGATTGCCCAAAAAACATACTTATAACTGACAATACTACCTAGGTATTTTAATATAAAAAATATTAACTTATTAAGAGCCGAACCATTCATAAAGCTAACATATATAAGTGGCCACACTTGATTCTCTCATGTTGAGAAATCCATTGAAAGAGGAGCTCTTGGCATTTGCTGGATACAACTCTCTTGTAGTTGATAGTCATATTGTTTCTGATGTACACAGATCCTGAATATCCTCTTCCTGTTTACCAATTAACTCACTGACTAATTAACGCAAAAAGAAAAATTAACTCAAGCTAAATCAAGGGATCAGGTTATGTTTAGTGAAGGCATGTGATTGCCCTGATCCACTTCCATGCAAGATAATTTGTCCTCGAGTTTGGTATGTTGGTTGGCTACTTCCATCTAGGGAGGATCATAAAATTTCATCTCCTTTACTGACTCATAAATAGAATGAGTCAGACACAGGAGCAACAGTTCATAATTCCTCTACTTCATAGTCCATTGCCTAGAAAAATGCAACCTTTAATGATGTCTCTTTGCAACTTGTTCTTAGAAAACCTCGTCTCCTTCAACCATTAACCATTTTGAAGATTTTTGGAAAATATCTTTGCAGTATAAATATTTTTTCAAATATCACAGTGAATTTGCATGTGCGATCTGCAGTGCAGTATTCTACAGCTTATTACAAATTGATAATTCTTATCTTCTAGAGTAATTAAATAAATTATGTTCTATTATATATATATATATATATATATATATATATATATA